GAGGGCTGGGCGGCAAGAAGGAGTCGGGGCAGCTGAGGTTCGGGGGGCGCGACCGGCCCTTCCGGAAGCCCATCAACCTGCCAGTGGTGAAGAGCGAGCTCTACAGGGAGGGCAGGAGGGAGCGCAGGGAGCGGTCGCGTTCCCGAGAGAGGCACTGGGACTGCAGGGTGCGCGACCGGGACCACGACAGGGGGCGGGAGAAGAGGTGGCCAGAAAGAGAGCCAGCCAGGATGTGGCCCGACAGTGACTGGGACAGAGAGAGGGACCTCCGGGACGACAGGCTCAAGGGGCGGCAGAAGAGGGACCGGAGCAAGTAGAGGCCACGGGCGCCCCAGGAGGGCGGTGAGGGGTGACTGTCTTGTGCTCAGCGCGTGTCCAGAGAGTCAGTAAAACTTGGTGGTAAGAGGATTTGGGCTAGTTGGTTTTCCTGCCCATCTGGAACCAAGAATCAAACTGGTAGTACAGGTTTGTCATCACCATTTTGTTTTGCTTTGAGGCAGGGTCTCACTATGTAGTTCAAGCTGGCCTTGAACTGTTATGTCATCCAGGCTGACCTCAATACACAGCAGCCTCCTGGCTCAGCCTCCTGAGTGCTGGGATTGCAGGGGTGCGCCATCACGCCCGGCCTGGTCCTTCCAGTACTAGGCTTGAACGCAGTGGTGCTGTACCACTGACCTACATCCCCAGCCCTTTTTATTTTGAAGCAGGGTCTTGCAAATTGTCCAGGCTATCCTGGATCTTGTGATCCTCCTGCCTCAGCCTCTTGAGGAGCTGGGATTGTATGTGTGTGTTACCATGCCTGGCTTAAATTAATTACCATTGATGGTTTTTGTTTTGTTTTGGTACCCAAGATCAAACTCGGGACCTTGCACTTGTGAGGCAGGTAGCAGAACCACTGAGCTACATCCCTGACCCACCACTGATTTTTTTTTTTTTTTTTTTTTTTTGTCTTTTTTTGAGGCAGGGTCTCACTATATAGTTGAGACTGATCTGGAACTCTCTATGTAGTCCAGGCTGGTCTTTGAACTCACAGCGATCCTCTTGCCTCAGCCTCCCAAGTGCTGGAATTACAGGCATGCACCATCATGCTCAGCTCGTTGAATTTAGTTCTGGGCAAGTGTTCAGAAGGGCTATAAGGAGGCACCATTCTCATTTCTTCGGCAACAGAGAATACATCCTGATTCTTTTTTTTTTTTTTTTGAGACAGGGTCTCACTGTAGTTAAGACTGACCTGGAACTCACTGTGTATCCCAGGCTGGTCTTGAACTCACAGAGATCCTCCTGCCTCAGCTTCCTAAGTGTTGGGATTACAGGTGTGTGCCACCACGCGGCCAAACATTGGAATTACAGGCATGCACCATCATGCTCAGCTCGTTGAATTTAGTTCTGGGCAAGTGTTCAGAAGGGCTATAAGGAGGCACCATTCTCATTTCTTCGGCAACAGAGAATACATCCTGATTCTTTTTTTTTTTTTTTGAGACAGGGTCTCACTGTAGTTAAGACTGACCTGGAACTCACTGTGTATCCCAGGCTGGTCTTGAACTCACAGAGATCCTCCTGCCTCAGCTTCCTAAGTGTTGGGATTACAGGTGTGTGCCACCACGCCCGGCCAAACATCCTGATTTTCTACCATGGACTTGAGATGGTTTTGAGTGTGGCCAAAGGAGGTGACAGGCCCCAAACCCTCACTGTTCTGTAATTCCTGCACAGAGTGAAGTTTACCTTTCCCATTTTCACAACCACAGCTCCAGGGCTTACTGAACTGCAATAAACATGGATACAGAGTAAATCCAAGCAGGGCTCCAGAGACCACGCTGTGGGTCAGCCACCAGCTCCTCCCCTCAGATGCAGCTCGGCTCTGAAATGCTGACTCCTCTGCTCTGTGTGGGCCACAGCAGCCAGGCTGTGATCCGTGGCTGTCTTCCAGGCCTCTGGGAAGATCCAGCTCAGCAAAAGTGGGAGCTGAATGAGATGAAGTTGGGAGGGGGGAATCGGGGAGAACTGTAGCTTGTGCTGAAGAATCCAGGTTTCTCTTTCTGATGATCTGGGCTCTGGTCTGCTTGAAAGCGGGATCTATCAGCTGGAATTTCTGGGAAGTTGTGAGTTAAATACCTACCACTCACTTTAATTTTTCAAAAAAAGTGAAAAAAAAAATCAATGACTGTAGCTTTGAAAGTTAAGATTCCTTGAATACAAGATTTCTGCAGGAAATGATTTAGCACCAAGACACTGTTATTCCTAGTGTTTAGTTTTGTTTTGCTTGCTTTTTGGCGGGGAGGTTTTGAGACAGGGTCTTGCTATGTAGTTGAGACTGACCTGGAACTCACTTTGTAGCCCAGGCTGGTCTCAAACTCAGTGATCCTCCTGCCTCAGCTTTCTGAGTGCTGGGATTACAGGCGTGCGCCACCACACCCAGCTTGTTTTGCTTTTGTACTAGAGACTGAATTGGGGACTTTACACTGCGCTATATCCACAGCTATTTTTATTTTTTAAAAAAAATTTTTTTGAGACAGTGGCTCTAGATGTAGTTCAGAATGGCCTTGAACTCCTATGTTGACTAGGCTGGCCTCGATCTCACAGCAATCCTCCTACTCAGCCTCCCGAGTGCTGGGATTACAGGTATGCGCCACCATGCCTGGCTATTTTAAAATTTTTTTATCTTGAGATGTTGCTGGGTCATTAAACCCCCCGGGGTGGCCTCAACCTTGTGATCCTCAGTGGATGAGACTCCAGGTGTGCACCATCGTGCCCTACCACTTCTGTCTTCTCTGAGACTAGGCTTCCTTGTGTGAGAATCTGTTTTGAGAACCCTAATGTGCAGTCCAGTCTGAGAAGCAAAGCTCTCTCCCAGCCAAACATTTCCCAGCCATCTTGCGGAGCCTGCAAATCCACCTGAGCCCTCAATCAGATGATCTTGAGTGCCCTCAGCAAGTGCCACCTCTGTGCCCTGCAGCTCTGGGTGGGCCGGAAGCGCGTGAGCGAGCCCCCACTCCCAGGCACAGACCCAGCAGCTGGCCGAGTTGCCAAGCTGCACGATCCCTGACATCTGTCACCAGCCCGCCCTCTGCTGTCCCTCCCACGCCTCCCCCAATCTGCTTGGAGACATTTGTTTTCTTTGCCAGAGAAGAAGCATTTCACATGGAAAAAGAATGCACACCAGAAACACTGCTCATCCTTAACAACTTTGTTTGGTTAGTACTGCAAAAGTCACAGCAGGTTCCAAGGCACACTGCCCTCCTCACAGCCACTTGCTCCAGGGCTGACCTGCTCACAAATGTCCCATGGGAGGGCTGTCATTTCGTGTCCTGTGCTTCATGTCTCAGTGGGGACAGGTCATCTAATCGATATATCTTATCCAATCTGCAATCATCACAATCTTTTTGAGAGAGACTTGCTATGGAATTTGGGCTGGCCTTGAACTCTGTCTGCAGCCCAGGCTGGCCTCAAACCCACAATCCTCCTGCCTCAACCTCCTGAGTGCTGTGATCACAGGAGTGCGCCACTGCACCCGCCATCTCAGCAGTTTCGTGATAATAAAAAGCTACCCTTCCTCTGTCTCCCACAGAAGTAGGACAGGTGATAATAAAACCTCTACGCCTAGAGTTTGATCTAAAGTCAATCAAATGGCAATTACAGTGATAAGTGATGTGTTTGGCTTGAGAAGCTTGTTACTGAAGTTAGCTTGCAAATCTGGTCTCAGTCAGTGGGATTATTAAATATATATGTCCTAAGAGTCAGAGTCATCTATTAGAAACGGTGATAGCCCTGGTATAAATAAACATTTCTGTAGAGTTTGGCATCAGTTTTCCACGTCCATCCTCAGAGTACAGCGTCCTTTGAGGGGCCAGTTTCAAGGGCCTGAGGCGGTGGCCGAGGGCCGAGGTCACAGGTGCTGCAGGGCCTCCTGCCCCTGCTCCGTGTACCCGTCATCACGGTGGGTGTTGGCCCAATGGCCGAAGGACTCGTGGATGTGCACATTTCTCTGCATGTTGGCCAGGCGCTTCTTATCTCGGGAGAAGAAGCTAAACCTTTGGGAAGGGAAAGGAAAAGACAGAAATGAGCGCTGACATGCCCTGTGCTGGGCATTTGTTTCTTTGCAGCACCAAGGACAGACAGCAGGCAGCACAGGAGGGAGCGCGGCCACTCAGGTGCGGAAAACATGTCACAGTGTGGGTCAGAGGTGACTAGAAAGCGCCAGGGACTTCTGCAGTCATAAGCCTGGGAACCCCGCGGTCACACGGCATGAGCAGGGCGTGCGGACTCCTCCGTCCTGGCCACTCCCGAGGGTCCTGCCTGTGACCCACAGAAAGCCACCGCAAATAGGGCATGAGTTTCTTTTATTTTTCTGTACTGGAGCCGAAACCCTTGTTAGGCGGGTGCTCTAACATGGAGCTCAGCCTGGGCCTCTTTATAATTCCCTTGTGCTGAGAGGGGAATGCTTGAAGGCAGTTGGAGTGGACCAAGAGTACCCCTGACTTAAATGGCGACATGCTCATGTGACGTCAGCTGGGAAACTGCAAGAAGCGAGGCATGGGGCCTCACAGGCCACGCGACATGGGTTATTATTGCTTAGGATGAAGCTACTTTATGTAGCGAGGCAAAAAAATGTAATCACTGAATCATGCTGGAGCGCCAACTGGAGAACGTGATAAAGTGGGTGAATGAGATGAGCAGGTATCAGGTTGGACTTTCAAAACTAGATTTAATGGTAAGGCTCTAGGGTTTATTGCTGTAACCAGTTACGCAGTAAAAGCTGACCCAGACCAAAACTGTCTCTCCCTGGCTTTTTGTTTTTCCCTTTGGCAGTGCCGGGGATAGAACTTGGGCCTTATTATGTGCTACGTAGATGTTCTACTGAGCTACATCCCAGCACTTATGAGTCATTTGTTTATTTTGAAGCAGGATCTCACTGTGTAGAAAAGGGTGGCCTTGAACTCCTTGTGATCCTACTGCCTCAGCCTCCCGAGTGCTTACAGGTGTGCGCCACCACGGCCGGCTCCTCCCATGTTTTTAAACTGCTAAGAGACTACACACTGATGACAGTGAACCATCAGATGCCTCAGTGATAAAGACAGAAATCACAAGAGAGTTTACAAAGCCCATTCAAAACACACTCAGCTTCCAGACCATGGAAACAGAGACAAACGAGCTGGGTTGTGAACTTGAGTTCACATCCCTGAGGGCCTCCTGAAAGCTTTTTTTTGATACCGGGGATTGAACTTGGGACCTTGCACTTGCAAGGCAGGCACCAGAACCACTGAGCTAAACTCCCAGGCCCTGAAAGCTCTTTCTAAGCTGCCAAATCTCCTTCAATACTACCAGGCTCGGCTAAGGTTCCTTCAGTTGTCACCAAGTTCTTACTCTTCCACTGCGGGTTCTGAATTTGGTGAGAGCTAAGAGAACAGCTCTTTTGTGTTTCCTGGGGACGAGAGTAGAAAGGAAGCCAGGGAGATGGCTGATCTGTACATGAACTCTTTTTGCTTGTGTCTCTTTAGTGAGGTAGCCCATGGAGGTGTTTTAATCACATCTGGTGGAAATGATTTCCCTCCTCTGTGCTACAGGACCGTATGGTCGCATTCCTCCAGGAGTAAAGTGCTCCTCATCACGAAGCCGAGTGGGGTGAACCCAGGCAGATGCCCCCACTCTACGGTTCTGTTCTCAACAGCAGAGCTGGGGACAGGCAGGAAGTTCTCCCTCCCCAGGTAGCTGGGAGTCGGCAATCAGCCGGCCCCGAAACAGCAGCACCCCAGGATTAGCTCCCCTCTGACAGGGAGCAGGAAGCCATCTGACTCAGGAGAATCCACCACTGCTCTCCCCGGCTTTCCCTTTTGCAGCAACATCCAACCAAGCAGCTGCCCGGCTGGGCCTTGGCAAGACTAAGCAGTTTTAGAAAGCTCTGGCGTGAAGATCCAAACATGGGGTTAGTGTCACTCGGGCCGGCAGCGGGTGGTGATTACTGACCCGTCACTTAAAGGACCTTCCTTACTGGATCATGGGCAAGGTGGGTTTTAGGGCAGAAACAGAAGAGACAAAAAGAATTATTGGTGACAGAGCCGAGAATCTCAACTCGTGCAGGTCGAGCACAGTGAAATCCCACTGCACACCCACTCCAGACCCAGCAGGCAGGCGACGGCCATGCAGCTCGAGGCCAAGGGAGCTGGGCTGGCCCCAAGGGAGCCGCAGCGACATGGCGGGGGCACAGCACAAACGGGACCCGAACACACACAGTGCCTACAAGGGAAACGAGTCGTCGCACAGGCTGCAGCGTGGGGTCATCGAGCAGCAGTCCAGCTGCCACCATGGGCATTATGGCTGTAAAGATCCTGGTTAGAGAGGTACAGACAGAGAAGATAAAAGGAGGCAGGACAGACACCCGCTCCGTGCACGTCCAGCCCAAGGACCACCGCTGCGACACAGGCCCGACCGTGTCCCCTCCCAGCAAATCCAGGTCAAGTCCCAACCCCCAGCAGCTCAGGATGCCCCCTGTAGACACGAGTCCTTCCACATGGATCCTGAGGGGAGAAGGGTGGCTCCAGGCCAGCAAGAAAAGGGGGAACGTGGACAGGGACGCACGCCTCAGGGGAGTGGCACGTGCTGCGTGGTGACAGTGGTGGACAGTGGTGACGCTTCTAACAAGACAAAAGTCATCAGCAAGAAGAGAGGCCTCAGCGGACCCCCTCATGGGGCTGAGCCTGCTCACCCTGAGCATCCACTCATTATGGCTCTTTAAGTCCTGTCCTCTGGGGCACTGTTACAGCGGCTCAGGGACACAGGTGCTGTGTGAAAGCCACGGAAGGGATTCAGCCACCCTCAGCAGCTGGAACGTCCTGGGTCTAGAGCAGAGGAGTTGGGTGCACTTCGGGACTTGTGGGAACCCTTCTGTCACCCCTACCCTGCCCTTAGGCACACACTCCCCATCCTCACAGCGCCAGGTGACAGCCTGGCGTGGACATGGGCTAAAACAGAGGCTGTGTCACCAGAGGAGGCCTGGTCCGCCCCCCTGGATAGGTCACAGCCACCAGTGGCAGCAGCAGTGAAGATGAGACTCCAGCCAGGCTTCCAGAGCTTATTCTGAAAATTATTTTTGTTTTTTTTGAGACAGGGTCTCTCTGTAACCCAGGCTGGCCTCAAACTCATGGTGACCCTCCTGCCTCAGCCTCCTAAGTGCTAGCATTACAGGTGTGCACCACCATGCCCAGCTTTATTTTTTTTCCCAGACATGTCTTGCTATGTATGTAGAGCAAGCTGGCCTCGAACATGTGCCAACCCTCCCTCCTGCCTCAGCCTCTCAAGCGTTGGAATTACAGGTGTGTGCCCCACCACGCCCAGCAGTTACGAATGCTTTTGAATGGGACTGGGAAAAGCTATAAGATAATCACTGCCAATGTGGGTTCTCTGTCGGGATGGTGTCTGACACTCCCCGGAGGAGCTGGGGATGGCAGACCACCTGGACGGTGGCCATGGGGACAGAGTGCTTTGTGCTATAGGAATGGACCTAATCCCCAGAGGCTTTCTGGGGGTTCCCAGCCACACTGCTGTGTACCCACCTTCACCAGGAACCCAAAGAGGGGACACGCAAGGCACAGTCATTGCATGGCAGGCGGCCCCCATCACCAGGTGAGAGATATCCGTCCACCTGGCCACACTGAACTGTATGTGGGGCCCATCAGGGGCCAGGCATCTGTCCAAGTGCTGGGGTGACCTGCAGCGAGCTGGCCAAGCTAATGTCCATGTCTCACTGTGCCAGGTGCCACCTACAGAAGCTGCTGCCTCTAGCAGGACAGCTGTCCCGGGCGCTTTGGCCAAGTCCAGGTCTTGGATGCGAGACAGCTGTTTCAAGCCCTCCCTTTCCACGAGCATTTCTGCGAGACTCAAACCAAGTCCATGGGGTGGGGTGGCATTTCAGGCGGTGAGAGGTGGCTGGGAAGCTATTTCCAGCTGAAGCAAGGAGGGCTGGTGGGTGGGAGGACAGGGACGGCATTGTGGTGCTGCCGCCCTGCTGGAGACCCAGTGGCTGAAACTTCCCTGCTCTGCTCGCCCCGGCCGCTGTCCACGTCCACCCCACCCCCCACTCCTGTCTGGTGGAAGCCACTGTGCAAATGGGACCACAACCGAGGTGAGGATCACAGAAGGGGGCGCTGGTGCCTGGTGAGGGGATGAGGCTGAAGTTACCAGGCACCCACATGACCTCCTGGTCAGTGCCAGCCCGTCCTCTCTGCCGGCTGGTGACAGCTGGGTCTCAAGCTATTCCTGGACCACCTTCAGGCTGCTGTTTTGACTGGCAGTAGGAGTCTCTGGTTTCCTGTTGTGTTCAGCCCAGAAATATCCAGTCTGGCGTCTCTGACTTGGGCACTTGAGAGATAAGGGACCCGGGCAGTCGGCCCAGGACTGGGGACTTGGGGAAGTAGGTGAGAAAAGAGAGGCAGGGGAGGGCAGCTGTTCAGGTGAACAGCCCAGGTTCAAGAGGCTGACTTGAGCCTTCCCCATGGCATGATCTAAGTGAAGCCGGGCGTAGTGGTGCACGCCTATAATCTCAACACTCAGGAGGCTGAGGCAGGAGGATCGCCTTGACTTCTAGGCCTGCCTGGGCTATATAGAGAAACCCTGTCTCAAAACACAAAAAAACAAAACACAAGTGAGCCTCGGTTTCCTCATCTGAGAAGGCGATGCATGTGCCAGCTGTGTGTCTCTGGCTGGAGGATATCTTAGTTCAGGTGCTCGGAGCTGGAGAAGCCCCTTCATACTTCCTTGGTGGCTCTGACTTCACTGTCAGGGACACAGGGTGGGGAAGAAGGTGGGGGGCACCTGCCTCAAAAACAAATGAAGAACTAAAAATGGTTCTCTGAGTCTGGCAGTGAAGCAACTAGAATTAGGGAGCCCAGAAGAGGTGGACAGAACACAGCACCAAAGAGAAAGAAACAGAAGCCCAGCAAGACAGAGGCTCTTGTCACGGGGTGCAGGTGGCCTGCCGTGTGGCAGCCCTGCCTCCTGGGGAAGAGCTGGGGGAGCCAACAGCCGCAGGAAGCTTTTGACAGCACCCGCAGGACACTGGCCGCCTTTGTGCTCCTCAGCAGTGACGGGGCTGGAGCCGTGAGCCGAAGCCAGGAGGAGCCGGTGCACCACACATTCCCACCCCAGGCCTCTGCACCTCCCCTCCTAGCCCCGACAAGGTCGTTCTGGTCTCCAAGGCCTGGCCTTGGCCACACGGCCTGTTCAGTGCCGGGGCTCTCTGCCCCTCTGCAGCCCAGCATTCTGCCGCCTTCAGCCCCTCATCTGGGTCTTTATGAGCCAGGCCTTTCCAGCACCTACCATGGAAGCCTCCCGTTCCCATGCTGGCGTGTGCTTCTAAGGGCTCCTTTTTAATTTGCTACTGAAGCCCCCTTTCCCCAAGCAGGTAGTTAACTACTGGATTTGCCAATCTCAAGTCGGGCAGAATCCAGAGCAAAGTCACCAGAATGAGCCGGAAACCCTTCCCACTGCGCCCAGCCCCGTTAAGCTGCAGCACTGCCCATCCTTCCGAGGGATGCACGTTCCACGCGGAGGGTCCAGCTGTACACAGCTGCATGGGCTTTACCTTTGGCCACCCACAGGCTGGGACCCAGCCAAGACTTCTCCGCTGCAATAGGGTTCTAAATGGGGAGGCGTGTGGGTCACCCCACTTCCTCTCCCCGTGCACCCCAACCCACACCACCTGCTCTCCCGAAGCTTCTGCTGGGTTTAGGGGAAGAGGACCGACTCCCTTGTGCAGTCAGCCAAGGGTAGAACTGGAGGCCTGGGGCGATGTGCCTCCTTTTCCATGACTGTGCAACCGGAGGACAGTGCGTCCCCTTCCCAGCACCCCTTGAGGACAAATGAGAGGATCTGCAGGTCAAGACCTGGGACAGGGCTCTTTAGCGCCCTAACCAGACTGCATGTGGAGCCTTTACCCGAAGCTGTCAGGAGTCCATGAACCTCCTGAGATGGCACACGGGATTTTACAGTCTCTTTTTGTCCCCAAGGACAAGGGCTGTAAATGTTCCTCAGAATCCCAAAGGGATTTGATGATGTCAAGCAGCACGGCAGCAGCTTAAAATCTGAGGGCAGTGCTGTCTCTGGTCCTCCCAGGGCAGCCAGTACCCGACGTGCATGTATTGGGCACCAAGAGACGCTGAGTAGCTAGAGGCTGGGTGGGCACATCATCACAGCAGCGCCTCCCGGGGGCGCCAGGTTTAAGCTGAGGGCACATGAGCCCCCTCCCCACCCCAGCCTTAGTCCTGGTCCTCAGAAGCCACCTCCCACCCCACATCACACAGCAAGCAAGCTCTGGAGCACCAGCCACAGGTCCCAGCCTCCTCCAACCTCTTTCCACAGACCCCGGAAGCAGCCCCGCATCCGCATCTCAAGAGATGAACCCAGTGGGGCTGAAGTCAGAGGTGGCATGAGCCCCCCGGAGGCCGCACACAGGGCGGGAAGCGCATCACTTACAGCCGCTTGATGCCAGACTCCGGCTGTGGGGACAGTCTTGGATGCGCGACGGGTGCGGGCTGGGGCATTCGGGTCTCCTCCTCTATTTCTTCACTGGAAGGAGTTGAGAGGCATGAGATAAATGAATCAGAAGACTGATCAGGGGCCCGGGAAGATGGAGAGTGGCTGTGCGCCCACAGCACCTGCCCGCGGGACTGGTCTCGAGCAGGGCTACCCTGAGACTGCTGATCTGCACTGAGTAACCGAGGTGTCAGCTGGCTGGAGAGGGGGATGAGAAAGACACTTCCAGCGCGACCACAGCCCCCGTGACCTTGGGGACTGCGTCTTCCTTTCTAGCGTGGTGGCTCCCTTGCTCAGCTTCCTGGACACCATTTAGTGAGCGGCTCTGCTGCGGCTCGGGGGCCTCACTCTGGGCTGGGAGCCAGGACGAGCCTCTCCTTTAAGGTGCGCTGTGCCAGAGGCAAGCGTGCGTCCCACAGTCCCCCCACTTCCTGTCTGCAGAATGCCCGTCTCGTGGCTTGGGGCCTCGTCCTCCCCTCCTTGCAGCCCCATCCCCGGGCGCTCCCCCAGCCTGTGAAGGAGGCCGCGCCCCAATGCCACCTCCGCTTCACCCTTCCCCAGGCGGAGTGAGCCTTCCCCGTCAGCCTCCAGCTCAGCGCCAGTGCACGGCCGGCTGGCAGGGCTCATGCCGGGCCTTGCATCTTCTCTGCGTCCTGTTTCCAGGCTGCAGCAGGGCCCGCCTGCACTGCGCCTGTCCCTCCTCCTGGTCTCCTGTATCAGACAGCTGTGCACCTTCCATGCGCTAGGGAGAACCGAGCAAGGTGACCTGCAAGTTCAAGGCCAGCCTGAACTACAGAGCAAGCCCCTGCCTCATAAATAAAACAAAACACTGTGGGCCTGCGTTTCAGCCAGGCAGGGTGAATGTGTGGCTTCCGGTACCCGACCAGGATGCAAGGACAGGCCTGTCCCCAGGTGGCAGCCCCGGCCCGCACACCTCTTGTAGTAGGCCAGCTCCTCCTGCAGCAGGAACACCTTGGCCTTGAGCTCGTTCCTCTCGTGCAGCACCTCCCGCAGCTCCTGCAGCGTGAACCGGGGGCGGCTGGGGTCCTTGGGGTCCAAGGCCGCCTTCTCCATGTCATCGGACACGTGCTCCTCTGTGCAGGGCTCCATCTGCAGAAGGCAGAGACGCGGCTGATGAATTCCTGGCAGCCCCACCTGCACCCGGCACTGCTCCACATCCCACCTCCCAGAGAGCAGCTTGCCCAGGGCGCTATTTTCAGCACTCGGGGGCGGCCTCTGCTGGAGTTCTGTTTGGTTTCCCCCGGAGATGGGAGCTGGCGGCCACCTGTTCATTGTCCCTTTCCACAGCCGGCCCTGGATCCCCACGCCTCCCCCAGCACCAGGGTTCTGTCACAAACACGTTCAGAGGCGTCCAGAGAGAAAAAAACGCCACACCTCCACTACCACCACCCTCCTCAACCTGCCCATGTTTCCTTTTCCAGCTCCTCCTACAGCCTTACTAAGACCAGTGCTAATCCCACCAAAGTGACTTAGTCACAGCCTACACTCGATTCTCAGTTCCTCCCAGTCATTTCATGAAATTCTGCATACTTATGCCTGTATCCGGCCCTCTGGCCAAGCCTTTCTTCCCCAGAGGCTCTTGGCATCTTGCCCTGGAGTCTGTTGGAAGATCTGGCAGGAGACACACTTAGAAACTTTATCAGTGCAGCCAAGTACGGTGGCACACGCCTGTCATCCCAGCCCTTGGGAGGCTGAGGCAGGACGATTGCAACTTTGAGGTCAGCCTGGGTTACACAGTGAGACCCTATTTCAAAAAACCAAAAGATAAAAAAGAAGAAAATTTTTTCATCAGTGCAGATGTCCCAGATGGATCCCAGCTTCAGCTGAGTCACCTGCCTGGGGAAAACCTTGTCTTCCCTTCTCCCAGGTCAGGGAGCCTTGCATCTTTGAGTCTAGGGCAAAACGTGGCTCACCTAAGCTGACTGCCCGTCTTCCTTCACGGGCACAGCTCAGTGGCCTGTGCAGGTTGGTGAGACTGTGCAGCTCTCCATCTAGTCCTGAGCATTCTTTCACCCTAGGAGGAAATGCCATGCTCACTGTGGCTCTGCCGATCCTGGACGTTTCCCAGCAATATGTGGCCTTTTGTCTCATTTCCCAGCTCATCCATGTTGCAGCACAATTTCCCATTTAAAAAAAAATTTTTTTTGGTACTGGGGATTGAACTCAGGACGTGCATTTGCCAGGCAGGCATGGAGCCACTGAGCTAAATCCCCGGCCCCTTCCAAATTTTTTTTTTTTTTTTTTTTGTACCAGGGATTAAACTCAGGTCCTCACTCTTTTGATGCAGGTGGTGGCACCATTGAGCTAAATCCTAGGCCACCCCCCGATGTTTGTTTTTTTTTTGAGACAGGCTCTTGCTATGTAGCCCAGATGGCCTCAAAATCAAAACCCTCCATGCCAGGCGTGGTGGCGCACGCCTGTAATCCCAGCACTCGGGAGGCTGAGGCAGGAGGATCATTGTGAGTTCGAGACCAGCCTGGGCTACATAGTGAGTTCTAGGTCAGTCTCAACTACATAGTGAGACCCTGTCTCAAAAAACCAAAACCAAAAAAAAACAAAACAAAAAAATCCCTCCTGTCTCACCCTCCTGAGTGGTGTCCAGCTCCTAGGCTTGTCACAACTGTGGCTGCCTTTTGGCTATTATGAAGAGCGGTACTGAGGCCTTCCTGCACGTCTTCTTTACGTCCTCCTGTTTGGACACAAGTTTCCCTTCTGTAGGGTACACGCTTAGGCAGAGCTGTAGGGTCTTACGGGGACTCTGACTCTGGGGATTTTTGTTGTGTTTTTTGGTTTTTTAAGACAAGATCTCACCATGTAGTTCAGGCTGGCCTCAAACTCATGGTGACCCTCCAGACTCAGCCTCCTGAGCCCTGGGATTCTAGGAGTGTGCCACTGTGGTCAGTGGTGACTCTAACACTCAATTAACTTTTCTGTTTCCACAGTGGCTTCAGGATTTTACATCCCCATCCATGTCCAGGGGTTCTGGTTTCTCTACGTTCTGTTCCACCCAGTCTTCATGAACGCTGAGCACAAGCTCTACCACCGAGCTACACCCCAGCCCATTTCCTGTTCTGTGTATGTACGTGGTACAGGGGACAGAACCGAACCCAAGGCCTTTGAACTGAGCTACATCCCCAGCTCTTTTTTTTTTTTTTTTTGATACCAGGAATTGAACTCAGGACCTTATGCTTGTGAGGCAGGCAGTGCTAAATCCGCAGCCCTCCCCAGCAATTTTTAAATTAAAAAAATTGAGACAGGATCCTGCAAAGTAAATTGCCCAGGCTGGGCCTGAACTAGCAACCCTCCTGCCTCAGCCTCCCAGTGTGAGGATTCCAGGTGTGCACCACCACCTGACCCATTTCCCATTTCCCATTTTCTTTGATAGCAAGGGATTTGCAAATAGTGTCACAGGCACCCTCCTGGCCCTGTCCCAAGGCCAGCTTGAAGGAGCAGACAGAGGCTGGGATGGTGGCTGGGACAGAGAGCTGAGGAACATGCCTGCCTCGAAAGCATAAGGACCCAAGTTTGATCCCCAGTACTAGCTGCAGAACAGGGGAAGGTGTAGAAACAGACACCCTGCCTAGGTCCCAAGCAGCCCACAGCGACACAGGGACTCAGGACCCCAGCCAGATGCGGGCACAGGGCCAAGAGTCCAGGACTCTGGCAGCTGAGCTGCGATGCTTGTCTCAGAGTCCCGGCCGGGCCGTTCTGTGGTGGTGGGGGGTGCTTGAGAGCGGACAGCACATGGGCAAACCAGGAGACAGGAGCCACAGCGGGGAAGAGCTGCAGAGCCTCAGTGACGCCAGGGTGGCTGTGTCCCTGTCCTCAGGGTGCCCTCTCCCGGCTGCTCCCTGATGCCACCCCCAGCCACACAGTCAGCCCTGTCCTCCCTCTTCAGCGGTGACCGGAACTTAGCGGGCGCCTGCCTGGGGGCCCAGGAGCGCACCTCGGCGTCTAATATTCCTCCAGCGCTTACTGAGCATGAACTCTGCACCTTGCTGCCGGCTGAGCTCAGTGTTGGGAAGAGATCCTGACAGGTGGGGTGAAGGGAAGATGGACCTGAACAGACGCTTACGAGGCGGACATCGAGAACGAGGAAGACCTCACTGCAGGGGCAGCCTCTGTGCATGGGGTCCTGAGGCTATGTAGGAGTTCGCCACAAACTGAGCACCAAGTGACACTGGCCAGATGCAAAAAGGAGGGCCCGTAGGTCTCGCCTGTGCCTCTCATTTGGTCTCGTCCTCACTGTGTTCTAAAATCTGGTGGCCAGTCATGGTGGACCATACCTGTAATCCCTGCATTCTGGGATACTGAGGCAGGAGGATCACAAGTTCAAGTCCAGCCCAGACAACATAGTGACTTAGCAAGACTGTCTCAAAAAATTAAAAAGGCGCCTGTAATCCCAATGCTCAGGAGGCTGAAGCAGGAGGATCATTGTGAGTTTTACTTCAGCCTGGGCTACATAGTGAGTTCAACCTGAACTACACAGTGAGACCCTGTCTCAAATAATAAACAAACAGGGCCAGGGATTTAGCTTAGTGGTTCAGTCACCTGCCTCACAAGCACAAGGACCCAAGTTCAATACCTGGTACCAAAAACAACAACAACAACAACAACAAAAATCCACAGAACAACACAACAAAAGATAAAAACAATAAACAAAAAGAAAAAAAGGCTGAAGATGTAGAAAAGTGTGAAGGTCCTGGATTTAATTCCCACTGAAAATCAAATCACATCTATTTAGCTGCTAAGTGTTTATGACCAGGAGATTTCATACCAAAGCCTGTGTTTAGAACTTCATTTTGGAAACTTACTAGAGACTGGGCTCTCCATGACACGCGTGCTTCCTCCCAGCTCTCTCCCTCCCTGTCTGGCCTCTGCTGTAGCCCCAAGCCTCAGGTCAGCTCTGCCTCCCCAGACAGCACTGGCCCTGCCACTCCTGGGGACCTGCCCCTTGTGTCCCTGCAGGGACCATTGGCCATGGGTGCTCACAATGGAGACGGCAGAGCCCAAGAGGCTCTGGCCAGGGCTACTCCTGGGCCTTTATGGCCGCTCTGGGTCTCAGTGGCACAGTGCTATTTCCAAGTGCCCTTCCCACCTGACACTGGGGTCCTCTGGACACACTCAGTGCTGCTGTGGCTCCAGCCCCCCAGTTGGCTGTCCTCATTGCCACAGAAAGGCAGCCTCAGACCTGAGCTCTTTTCTCTGCAGAAAGGACAGCTCTTTTCTGAGAGGCCCTGATCTTGGAGCTTAGGGGCCCTGTCAGGTGTGTGGGTTCCTGCCTTTGGGCCTGACTGCCCATGAGTGCCAGGCAGCACAGGTGGCCCGAGTCCAAGGCGGCATCAGGAGATTAAAATCCTTCTAGGCTTATTCCCTGGGGGCGCAAGGTGGCTGGGGTTTTCTCCTGTTTGCTGGTCCCCGGGGGCTGCCTGGGCACATCTCAAGGGAAAGAGAGCAGCCCAGTCGCACGCCAGGGAGGCCTGGGAGACCAACCGACGGGGGTGAGAGAAGCAGCACCTGAACTAGCCTCTACCCCGCAGCTTCTTGGACCTGTTCCCCACCACCGGGCTCATTGGAGCGCCTGTGAGCACCCCTCGGGACAGTCCCTGGCACTGCAGAAGGGACGACTGTTACAATCATATGCAGGGACTTCTGGGACCACCAAGTACCACTTCAGGCTGCACTTACACCCTGCTTCCCACACCAGCCACCAGGACCTCACTTTAAAAAACAGCTATGAAAGCCAGGGGTGGGGGCACACCTGTTATCCTAGCATTCTGGGAGGCTGAGGCAGGAGGATCCCAAGATCAAGGACAGCTTGGGAAACTCAAAAGACTCTTGTCTCAAAATAAAAAAACCATCCCCCAGTTCTTCTGGGTGCAAGGCAATTTCTTGCCACTGGGGTTGGCACCAAGGAACACAGTGACTACAGCCTGCTGGAGAAGCCCTCACAGTGGAAACCAGGACTCCGCTGTCCCTTGCAGCCAGGGCAGGGCTGCGGGTTGGGAGGACAGAGCTGGGTCCGCTGGTGCACTGGGCAGGTCTCTGGGGGCTGGGGACACAGGACAGGCTAGAGAATGTGCCTGGGGGGCTGTGGTGTCTCCAAGTCAGGCCCCCACACCAGTCCCCAAAGCACCCCAGCATCTCTGCGGCCTTGGCCCAGCCACCATTCCCACTCCGCACACTTTTGAGTCACTGTGGTATCTCCAGGCACAGGGCCTCTGCACACTGCCCTCCTGCCTGGGGCTCAGCTCCCCAGTTCCTCTCCCTCAAGCACCTCCTGGAGCCATTTTGATCACTGGATTCTAATGGCGACGTCACAACAGCGAACAGCAGCTGCACACGGACCATGCCATCCAAATGTCGTAACACGTGGGGAAATGTTCTTATTCTGGGGTTGTGCTGTTGTGTGGCTACTGCGGACTGAATCCAGGGCCTTCCCATGCAGCCACATTTAGCTCCAGCCCTTCTTATTTTAAGACAGGGTCTTGCTAAGTCACTGAACTGCCTACACTGGGCTCAAACTCTTCAGTCTTCCTGCCTCAGCCTCCCAAAGTGCTAGGATGACAGGTGAGCACCTCCACCCCCAGCTTTTAGTTTTTTGCTTTGCTTTGTTTTTCTGAGACAGGGTCTCATATATAGTTCAGGGTGGCCTTAAACTCAGTACGCAGTGCAGGCTGATCCTCCTGCCTCAGCCTCGTGCACTGTCAGACCCAGCTACGATTCCTATTATTATGGAAAGAAACTGAGGCACAGACAGGCTAACAACATACTGAAGGCCACAGAGGAGGGGAGCAGCAGAACCTAGACTTACACCCAGGCCAGCTGGCTCACACCACAGCCGTCTCCGTGCCCCTCTCCAGGCAGGGTCCAGGTGGCAGTCAGGTACCATGACAGCTGTACAAAGCTCAGGGTTCCAGAGCCCAAGCTGTGCCACCAACACCAGCACTGCCAGCTCCTTCCAGAATATTTCCCTCACCCCCAAAGCAGTGCTGTGCCCAACAGCAGCAGCAGCAGCAGCTACCCATCACCATCCTGCAGCCCACAGCGGTCTCTGGACACTGTCCTGATGCAGCAGGTGACCCCGTGTCTGCCACTCGGAGTGTGAGTGTGTGTACGTGTGTGCACAGTACCAGGGATTGAACCTATGACCTCTGCGATGAGCTACATCCTCAACCATTTTATGGGAGGTACTGGGGATCAAATACGGGTCCTTGCACTTTCGAGGCAGGTGGTGGCACCACTGAGCTAAATCTCCAACCCTTTAACCATTTTTCATTCTTTTTTTTTTTTTTTGGTACCAGGGATTGAACTAGGGTCCTTGCGCTTGCAAGGCAGGCCACCGAACCACTGAGCTAAATAAATCCCCGGCCCCAACCATTCTTTATCTGAAGCAGGGTCTGGCTCAGTCCTTAATTTGCCCAGGCTGGCCTTGAACTCAGTCTCCGTCTTCAGAGTACCGGGATTACAGATACAGCCACCGTACCCAGCTCCCACATTCCTCGAGGGTGAAACTGTGCTGCACTACACTTCGGTTGATCCCTCCACATACTGCCACCGCATGCGCTGTTCCCGGGACCCCTGGCTCCTGTGGCCCTGCCTCCATGCACAGCTGGGGGCTCTGGGTGGACGGGGCAGCTCTGTGCTTTGCCCACGCGCTCTCTCTGAGCCTGCTGTGCGGCTGACACTCATGTGAACGGGCGGATGGATGAATCAATCAATGGGTGGACGGTGCGTGTCAGCCTGGGAACATCACTGTGCTCACCACCTCCCACCAGAAGCTGGGAGTCCTGGGCTCCAGGTTGGGCTCTGCCCTGTCCAGCCGCTCCTCCTCAGGCAGCAACTCGCTCTGTCCACCTCCCGTTCCCTCACACACGCTGGGGACGTCAAGGCAGCTCCCCCTCCACAGCTGGGCACCACTTTCCTCTCACCTCAGGCTCCTCCTGCCCGTTCTGGCTGACCTCGCCCTGCAGTCTCTCCCGCAGCTTGCCAAGTTCCGCCCGCAGCGTGCCCATCTCCTGCTCTTTGGTTTGCAGATCTGCCTCTAGCTCCACCTTCTGCTCAATCAGAGCCTTCCCCTGGGCCTCCACCACAGTGACCCGGTGGCGAAGGTCATGGTTGATCTTCATTAGTCGAGTCTGCTGCTGCTGCAGCTGCAAAGAGACAGAAGGCATTGCAGAGCTGTCACATACAGTAGCTCAGGTTGTACACTGCACAAAAGCAAGCCATCTCCAGGTGTGCCATGGGTGGTGTGAACATTATTTGTTATCCGTTTACAGTCTATGACTTGGTTGACACCCAAGATGGGCAATTTGTATATTTACTGTGGTAATTTTATGGCAGACGGAGGCTAAGTGTCTTGTTATACATTACAACACGACACTTTTCCTCAAATGGAAGCCACAGGTTTTGAGAATCAGGTGGACACTGCTTGGGTTCCAGGGGCAGCCTTGGGGACCAGTCCAGGCTGCTGCAGGAGCCTGGTCACAGAGGGCCCCTTCCCCTCCTGCTCTCCTGGGAGACCCAGCTGAGGTCGCCCCAGAGTTGCTGTGTGGACCACCCCCCCAGCCAAGGCCAGAACGTCCAGTCACCAGCAGGGGGCGCGAGAGGGAGAGGCTGGGGCAGGTGTGGCGACACTTACAGCCTCCACGTCCTCGCTCTTCAGCCCGAGCTCACGGTCCTTGGCGCGGATCTCATCCCGCTGTTTGTCCACCACCTCCTTCAGCCTCTTCATCACCTGCCGCTCGCGCTCCGACATGCCTGGGGGCGGAGCCAATGGTGAGCCCGCCCACCGCGAGCCTGGGCGGGGCTTAGGCGAGCCCCGCCCCCAGTGGCCTGGGCCTGTCCTCCCTGCCTCTCCCCTTCCTCCCAGCCTCTGAGCTCCGCCCACCTAGCGTCTTGGTCCCTGCTGTCTCCTCTGCTCAGAGCCTGTCCCTCCCCGTGTCCCCACTACCTGTTAGCTTCTCTTCATCCCGCCCCGTATCACCCTCACGTCATTCTTACAGCAACCAGGAATCTGAAACATCTCCTTAGCAGGGGGAGGAGTCGCCTCCAGCCCTTGACCCTGGGTGGCCTCGGTGGTCACCTGCACACCGTGGGCAGCTGGTGTCTGGCCAGGGCGCTGGGGGACAGGTGAATCACTGTGCTTCATCCTGTTCCCGGAGGCGTCAGGCTGCTGTCTGGGTCCTGCTTGTTCCCGACGGGCCACCTGGGTTCTGAGGAGCCTGCAAGGGCTGGGGCCCCTTTTGTCCTCTCCCTGAGCCTCACCCAGCACTGCATACAGCAGCGGCCATTAGGGGAGTGGGTGAGCCCCGTGACCTTCCTGTGACTGCTGTACAAATGGTCAACAAGTCTGGCAGCTTTATGCTGGGCATGGTGGCACACACGCCCATGATTCCAGCACTCGGGAGGCTGAGACAGGAGTATCCCTGCAGTGTAAGGCCACCTTGGGCTACATAGCAAGACCCTGTCTCAAAACAAATCAACCCAGAAAACAACAACAACAAAGAACAAATGTGTAGCTTAAGCCATCAGAAACAACTTTCTCATCATTCCAGAAGCTACAAGCTCAAAGTCAGCTGTTTGGAGGTTCAGAGACAACTGTGCCCCTCTTCTAATGTCCCTTGGCCCAGGGCTGCCTTGCCCTGGCCTCCTTCGTGTCACACCCTCCGCCTCTGTATGACAAGCAAGTGATGTCTCTAGGGCCCCGGTGCAGCCCAGGACGGAGTCCCCATCCCACCGCCACTATGCAGAGGTGGCACTCAGGTGATGAGGGGACTGGGCATGGGTCTCAAGCACAGGGGGAGGGGCATCCACAGGACCCGTGGCAGAGAACTTGGGGCGACGCCCTCCCTGAGTGGCTTGGCCCACCCCCATCTTTCCTGACCTCTGGACCTCCCAGGCCACCAGCCACCACCAGGAGCCAGCAGCCTGCAGAAGGGTGTGCAACATGGCCTAACCCAGGCCCTGCCCCACAGCCCTGGGACAGCACAGCTGGGGGGCTCGGTCATCTCTGAACTGCAGGGCTGGCAGCAGGGAAGCAGACTGGCTCCTCCCCTGCAGGCCCCACTGTCTTCTCCCACCAGCCCTGGAAGTGGGTGCTACTATCGTCTTTGCCATCGTTTTCATTTTATTTTGGGTTTTTGTTTTGAGACAGGGTCTCACTGTGTAGTTCAAGCTTGCCTGGAAGTTGAAGTGATCTTCCTGCCTCAGCCTCCTGAGTGTTGAGATTACAGGCGCGTACCACCACACTGGGCCTTTATTCCCTGCTGTTGTTTTAACATTGGTCCCATTTTATAGGTACAGAAAACTGAGGCTCTGATGGGCCGGGGATTTAGTTCAGAGGTACAGCCGCCTGCCTCGTAATCACAAGGTCCTGAGTTCAAGCCCTGGTACCCCCCCAAAAGAAAACTGAGGCCTTGAGACAAACTGCTCAAAGTCCCAGTGCTGGGACTCAGACCCAGGTCCTCCTTGCCACGACAGCAGGGCACATCACCCCCTAGGGACCATGTACTCAGCTGTGGTTTTCACTCAAGTCTCCCTTTGGTGGTCTGCAAGATGGGTTTGCTGATGCCCCCTCCACACCTCACCTTGACATCATCATGCTCTTAAAGTGAGCCCATGCTGGGAGAGGTGGCCCACACATGTAATCCCAGCACTCGGGAGGCTGAGGCAGGAGGATGCAGGTGTGAGCCCAGCCTGGGCGACTCAGCAAGACCCCATCTCAAAATAAAAAATATAAGGGTTGGGGTTGTGGCTCAATTTAAAGGCCCTGGGTCCAGTCACTAGTACCAAAAAGAAAGAAAAGAAAAGAAAAACCAAAACCAAGACAGTACATTTCATGCTATGTGCATTCTCACTATATTGACACCCACACACCCATACTGGGTTGCAAAGACTCGGCATGAACAAAACAGGACTGCAAAATATCCTGCTGATAGTTTCACTGATTACAGCCGAAAAGATAGAGTTTTGGGCCTACTGGGTTACACAGATTAAAACCGTCCTCCCCTGTTTTTGTTGCTTTTCTCCTGCGCCAATAGAAAGACCCCCACCTTCTGTTTCCCTGCGTCGGCTCCGCCAGGCCTCCCTGCAGTCCGTGCCCACAAGGCCACCTCCCCAGCCCTGGTCTCTAAGCTGCTCTCAAGGTCTGAAGCACTCTTCCCACACAAGTGCCTCTCTGCAACCCCCGAGCCAGGGCAGACACCTGTGGTTCACTTCCCTGTGTGCTGCCCAGCAGGTGGAGGGGCACATTGGAATCTGGGCACTTTGTCCGGGCATGGTGTCATCCCAGCACTGTGGGAGGCTGAGGCAGGAGGATCTCAGATTTGAGATCAGCCTGGACAGCTTAGCAAGATCCTGTCTCACAATAAAATTCCTTTTTAAAGACGCTGGGGACGTGGCTTGGTGGTGAAGGCGCCCCTCGTCTGAGCCCAATACTGCATGTCAGGCTCCAGATGAGGACTGGCCCTTCCAGGCACCCTTCACCCCAGCTCTCCACCAGCCTCTGCCAGGTACCTGAGTGTTGTCAGTCCAGCCCCAGGTCCTGACTTCCTCCTCCTGGTGTGTTCTGCTGTGTCCCTGCCAGTGGGCTGCGGTATGACAAGCTCAGCGGGAACCCAGGACCCTGCAGGGGCTGAGCACGCTCCCAGCATGCACTGGGGAGGCCACAGGCTTCACCCAGGAGCCCAGCTAGCGGCTCTCCAGGCCTCTGGGGCTTCACTGGGCAGGCAGAGGCGTTCCCAGGTCACTGCATGCGCTCTCAGAGATAGCACAGAAAAAAAGATGGAAACACAGCCTGGCGTGGTGGCGCACACCTGTAATCCAGTGCTCAGGAGGCTGAGGCAGGAAGGAGGACTGCAAGTTCCAGCCCAGTCTGGCCAATTTAGTGACTTAGCAAGACCCTTTCCCAGAACAAAAACGTGAAAAAAGGGCTGGCGATTTAGCTCAATGCAAAGGCCTCAGGTTCGACTCCGAGTATCCTCTGCCCCACAAAAGCAGCCAGACAGACAAAAACCCACATGGCGTCTGACCCCACTGTGGAAATGTCCAGCACAGGCGAGTCCACGGAGGGAGCAGGCTGGCTGGGACGGGGTGGGAGTCCGGCCTTTGGCTCTGCAGAGCTGGGGACAGAATCCAGGCCCTATGCACACGCGGCTCCCACTTGTCACTGTGCTGCACCCCCAGCTGAAGAAGTGCTGAGCAGTTGTACCTCTCTGCTCCCGCAGGGGCGCCACATCCCCGGACGGGCGCTAGCACCTCAGCTGTCTGCATTGAGCAGGTGACTGCTGTGGCCCTGGTCGATCAACAAACGACAGCAAATTCTCAGGGGCTCAGAGGAGCCTGATGCGCATGCCTGGAGGACAGAGGCGCCCGCAGGAAAGGGCAGAGCTCCGGAAGCTGGAATCAGGCCGGCTGCCTGGGTACTGTCAACCCCAGGATGGGCCCTCTCTGCTCCCCAAGAGGGGAAGCAGCAGATCCACACCAATATGCAAATTCTGCAGGACATAGGCAACAGGGAAATTGCGGGCCACAAAATCCAGGGCGGCCCCATGGGTCAGATCCAGAACAGCAGGAGCACACTGATCAAAGCCACTCACTTCCAAACATCGTCTGAAGGTTACTTTTGTTTTTTTGCTTTTGTTTGCTTTTTTTGTGACAGGGTCTCACTATGCAGTTGAGACTGACCCAGAACTCACTATGTAGTCCAGGCTGATCTCCAATTCACAGCGATCCTCCTGCCTCAGCCTCCGGAGTGCTGGGATTACAGGCAAGTGCCACCACGCCTGGCTTACTTTCGTATTTTTGAGACAGGGTCTTCCTATGTAGTTCAGACTTGAACTCGCAATGTAGACCAGGCTGGCTTTTAACTCTTGGTGATCTTCCTGCCTCAGTCTCCTGAGACTGGTTGCCCTCAGTGCTCCTTGAGCCCAGGGCCTTTGCACTTGCTTCTTTCTGAGGTGTTTGCAGCTCACCCTATCAGTTTAAGATTCTGCCTGGCATCCTCAGTGACTGTCCCTAACGAAGCCCCAGGCTGCTCTCGGTCAACCCGCCTAGCCCTGCACATCTCTAGAGCCTGACCATCTGTCTGTTCGCACACTCTTCACCTCTCCACTGCAGAATGTGGTTGGGAAGGCAGGATCTGCGTCCTGGGGCCCAGACAGGCATTTGACATGGCGGGGCCATAACAGCCTGTGCAACAGACCTGTGTGCTCTCCTCTGCAGGCTGGCGGATAGGATGTGAACAGAAGTGACAACAGGGGCAAGGAAATGAAGTGCAGGCATGGCACGATCAAGGTGCTCAGGGGACACAGCGGCCCTTACCTTCATGCCTCTGGAAATCCTCCTCTGAGAAGCCCGCGTCCTTGTGGGAGAGGTTGGTCATCAGCTGCTTGTTCTCCTCCTGCAGCTGCGCAATCTGCGACAGGAGGTCCTGCGCTTCCCCTCGCCACACATCCTCCACCAGCTCCAGCTCCTGGGGGGTGGGCGCATGGTCACAGCCTGCCCAGGCCAGAGTCCCGACACCCCACACCTCTCGGGGTCCCAAGCCCTGGTCTCCAGATAGAGGCTCACGCCCAGATGACAGCACCCTGTACCCAGGTGTCTTTCCAGGGGCCTCCAGCATGTCACCTGAGCACCTGGGGCCTCCACTGGGGACCAACTCTCAGGCTCACACAGTAGATGCAAGGGCAAATAAGACCGGTTTAAAGCCAGGAGGGGTGGTCCAGGCTGGCCTGGAACTCTCCAAGATCCTCCTGCCTCAGCCTCCCAGTGCTGAGATACAAGCCTGTGCCACTCACACCCACCAAAGAAGGTGTATTTGTAAAAGCAGAAACTGTTCAGGAAGCAGCACCGCTCTGCCTGCATGCTCAGGGTTGAAGGCGTGGACTCCAGTGTCACCTGAGTCCGAATCCCGCCTGTCTCTCTGGCGAAGGGCGAGTCACTCCACCTGTGGGTGCCCTGGACATGAGCCAGATGGTGTGATGTGTCCCTCAGGTTAAACGGTGGCACCCAGAGAGGCAAGGAGGCGTCTGCTGCCTCCGCTCTGCCCACATCTGTCACAGGAGCCAGCTGGCCGGATGGTCAGCATCACCTCCTCCTCCACTCATCTTTAAATAAGTCCCCAGCCGCCTCCCCTGCCAGGAAACCTATGGCACTGGTGCCCCAAGAGGAATTAGCGAAGCAAACAGGCAGCAGGTTGGAGGTCACCAGGGGATGTGAAGGGTGAGATCAGGGTCAGAACACTGGGATGAGTCAGTGTCATGGCACACCCCTGTGATCCCAGCAGTCGGGAGGCTGAGGCAGGAGGGTCACTACCAGTTTGAGGCCAGCCTGGGCTACGTGGCAAGACTGTCTCAAAACCCCCCAAAACAAGTGGAGGAATGATGGTGATGGACAGGATGCCTGGCACCCTCAGGGAGCCCGGCTCTTCTGCCTGCTCCTCTCTGCGCCCACCGGGCATGAGTGACTCCTTGAAGGCCAGCTCAGTGGGCCTGGGAGCCTGACTGTGACTGCACAGCAGAAGGGGCTCTACGATGTGATTAAGTCAAGTGATCCCTGCAACTAGGAGGGTGAGGCAGGAAGATCCCCAAGAGTTTGACGCCAGCCTGAGCTAGATAGCAAGACCTTGTCTCAAAAAATAAACTTGAAAAAAAAAAAAAAAGGAAAGAGAGATAGAAAAGAAAAGGAAAGGAAAGAAAGGGAGAGAGAAAAAGGAGTCTTCTCCTAGTGTCCCAGAGGACCAGAGCCTTCCTGACACTTTATTATTTGGGGGTGGTGAGACAGGGTTGCGCTATGTAGCTCAGGCTGGCCTCAAATATGGCGACCCTCCTGCCTCAGCCTCCTGATACCTAACTTCTTTTTTTGCAGTGCTGGTGATGGAACCCAGGGCCTGCCACATGTTTGGCACACACTATCCTGCTGAGCAGCAGCCACAGCCCCAGTACCTGAATGTGACCCGAAGACTTGACACACTCATACCAAGGCTGTCTCCCCCGCACCCGCAGCTCCTCAGAATACATGCCGGCCCCCAGCGGCGAATGTCTGCTGTTCTGAGCCCCTAAGCAAGGGCTACAATGTCACAGCAGCCCTGCAACACAAATACCGACTTTACAGCTCAGTGGTTGGGTTTCTTCCCCACACGCGATGCTAGGGATGAAACCCAGGGCCAGTTTACCTGGGAGCTACATTCCCATCCTTTTTTAAAATTTTATTTTGAGACAAGGTCTCCATAAATTACCCTGGGCAATTCTCCTGCCTCAGCCTCCGGTATAGCTGCCATTACACGTCTGCATCACCACACCCGGATGTGTACTTTTTTCCTTCCTCTCAGTGGACTAGTCTACTTAGCAATTGGTTCCAGCTACTGAGCTGACCATGAAGAATTTAATCCTGCCCCACGAGGCTGAGAAGGTAGCACTGATTAGTCAACTCTGGCTCCTTTCAAACTCCTCCAGCCTGCAAGGCCCAGCACCTCCAACCTCACCCCCATTCCTCTTTCTCTTTCTGTGGCTGCTCTAGCCACACTGGCCATCCAAGTGCATTCCTACCCCAGGACCTTTGCACCTGTCATCACCTGCCTGGCCCCTCTCCCTAGATCCCTCTGTGGCTGGTGCCTCTTCTTCCTGTACATCTCAGCTCAAAAGATGCCCCCTCAGGCAAGCTTTCCTGGGGAGTCTCCTCTATTACACCCGCAGGCCAGCCAGGCTTTTCACATCTCCTTGCTTTACTTCCTTTGGCACTAGCTCATGGTGAGTGCTGGCGGAGCTCATTCAAGGCCCGAGGCTCCTTCTGTGCACCACAAACACCCTGCCTGCTCCCATTCAAACTGCAACACCCTGCAGAACTGACTCGGACCATAGTGGGCTTCAGCACGGCCAGCCTGGGAGTGGCCGGTCTGGATTAAAAGTTCAGTGGGGTTTAACACGCCAGATTTCAGAGGTGTGGCGGGAAAGAATGCCAAACACCTCACTGGCCGGCTTTACACAGAATACACCTTGGAGTGAAGATGTCCTGACCTACTGGGTTCTGTAAGATGCACTATAATTAACCTCACCATGTCTTCCTATGTGCTCAGCAAGCCATATTCTACTACGGAATGGCACCATCTCCTCAGTGCCAGAACAGTGCCCAGCACATAATAGTTACTCAAGCAACACATTTGTCGAATGACTATATGAACACCGCAGGCTGTTTATGTCACATGCAATTATAGCCACATGGCCACTCCTCTTTCTAAAGACTACTGTCATCCAGTCTTTTCCCAGTGACCTTGGTCACCCTCCTCCCGGTAACATAAGAACAAGTTTTTTTCTGCTCTGCAGCACCCACATGAAAAGGAGGGCCTTTTGCATGTTGTGGACCATCAACAGGGTTGCAGACTGAGCAAGGAGACAACTCAATAGGTCTGTGGCCTAGGTTGATTGAGTGGGACCAGCCAGGGAGAGGGGCCCGGTCGTGGGGAAGATCCCAGCAGGTGAGCTCCTCCCCTCTGCTAGCGGACAAGCCAGAGGTGTGGTCCTCCAGGAGCAACCAGTGCCTCTGCTGTGGCTGCCAACCCCACCCTCCTGCAGCCCAGTGACCTCCGCGACCAGGACAGAGGTGCCACCAAGATGGCCCTGTTACCCTGTAACTTAAGCTGAGCGCCCTTGCCGGTCAAGTGCTGGCCCTGAGTTTGGGCCTCCCGCAGCCCCTTGAGGCAGGGACACGGTCATCCCACTTGACGGCTGAGGAAACTGAGGCACGATGCGGTGGGGTTTTGCCCGAGCCGCACAGCCTGTGGAGGGCAGGGTCTGAGACCCGGCTGTCTTGGCTACAAAGTCCCCGTTCCTGGGAGTCTCAAATCTCCCTTGGGGACTGGGGACTGTCCAGGCTTCCCGTGTCACCCTGGCGACACCGCCCAACTACACCTCAAGTTTCCTTCCCACCCAGGGCCTAGGACCAGGAGAGACACTGAGACCCAAGCTCTCAGCGGCCACCAGGCTGCTCTCTCCGTCAAGCTTGCACAGTGAGATTTGGCCACTTTCCTTGAAAACATTCAGTTCCATCAGAAGGGGCAACATGATGCCAGCCAGGGAGGCTCAGAGAGGTCAAGGTATTTCCTAAGGCCACACAGCAGGCCGGGGCCTGCTCCGGGCACCCTGATTCCCCCAAGGAAAGGCGTTTCCTCCCATTCTCGGTGGGAAGGGCTGAGGTTAGGGCAGGAAACCACACGTCTCCCACTTCCTCCTCTGGTTACCTTGTCTGGACTCCCAGCCCGCAGGGGAGGCCCCAATTCCGAGAGTCACCAGCTCCAGGGGCAGATGCCGGCTTCAAAGCTGCCCCGAATCAAGCGGGTGGAGAAGAGCTATCTCCCCCCGGGCTGGGGCAAATCCCTCCCCCGCACTGACCCGCGGTTTCCTCTTCTGTCCCAGGAAGCGAATCCTACCTCGCAGAGTTCTGGGAGGATCAGAGCACAGCCAAGGCCAGAAAACCGCCCGGCAGGGACGGCGGTCAGCAGACCGGGGGCACCGGGGAGAAAGAGGCAAAGATGAACTCGGGCTCGAACTCGGGGCGGGATCCAGACAGGGCCTGGGAGTCCCAAAGGGCGAGGGGAAGAGAAGGGTACCGCCCGAGCGCCTTCCCCGCCTCGTCACGTCCAATTCCTAGAAGCCGGTCTGGAAGGTGAGCGCCACCCGGCACAGACACTGAGCAACTCGGCCCAGGCCGCGGCGGCTCCGGGGGCGCAGGACCTCGGGGCCGGGCCCACCTTCTGGTGCTTGCGCTCCTTCTCGATGCGGTCCATCCGCT